GCTCTTGCTGGGGCTGAAGTGTGGGGCCCCCCACGCCTGCATGGGGTGTATGTACCCTCTTTGATCACGGAAGTGCTGCCTCAATGTCTTTTATCTTTTTGTGGATCATTAATTGTTTCTTTATTGGCTTGGGGGGAGTTTGGGGCCCTTTTGGCGCTGGGGGCCCCCTGGGGGCCCCCGGGGGCCCCCCTGGGGACCCTGTGGGGGGCCCCCACACTCAGCTGGGCCTCCCCGTACCCTCCCTGGCAGCTCTCTCTTTCTATTGTTGCTGTTTGCTGCTGCTTCTTTGGTCTTTTCTTTACTTACCCTCTTGCTTCTGTATTCCTTTGGGGAGGCCTCGCGGGAGCCCTCGGGAGTTTGGGGGCCCCCCTGCTGCTGCAGGGTACTGGGGGGCCCCTCGCGGGGAGCCCCGGGGCCCCCACCGCCCTGAGAGCCCTGCCTCCTGGCCTTCTTGCTGCTGCTGCTGCTGCTTACCTTGCGGGGGCCTTTTGCTGCTTCCGAAGAACTAAAGACTTAAAGGGGGCCCTCACATCCACGGTAAGACCCAGGGGCCCCCCGTTAGTACCCTCTTAGGGGCCCCCCTTGCTCGCAGCAGCAAAATGTCTCGGGGCTAGCCGAACCCTAAAAGGCCCCAGAGCTCCTCTTGGCTAGGGGCCCCCGCGGCAGCAGGGGGCCCCCAGGAGGGGGCCCCCAAGAAGGGGCCCCCAGGAGGGGGCCCCCAGAAGGGGGCCCCCAGGGCACTCTGGGGCCCCGGTAAGTGTGAGGGCCCCTTGCATGTGCTGCTGTGTCTCAGGAGCTGCTGCTGCAGGGCGTGCGCATCTTCTGCTGCTTCGTGTGTTCGCTGATGCTGCTGCGCTGCAGCGTGGGCCCCCGGGGGGGCCCCCAGGCCAGCTTGAGGTCCCATGGGGGGCCCCCCCTGGACTGGCTGCTGCCCTCTAGTGATCTGCATGCCATAAGGGTACTGCTGGGGGCCTCTGCTGCTTCTTTAGTTGTCTCTGTGGGCCTCTTTTGCTGCGGGGCCCTTTGGGGGCCCCCCGAACTCCGCAGAGACATTGACTACTGCCACGGCTGCACAAGCTGCCCCCCGGCGGGCCTCGCAGCAGCAGCAGGA